GTGTTGTAGGTCTGATCCCCACATGGGACGACACTTTGTGTGATCCACAAATTGTTGTTCTGAGTCTGGGTGTACTTTGTGTCCGTTTCATGTATGTTTGTAAAGTCCCCCGCGACACAGGATTTATTCCTAGTGCGGGAGTTGTCTTTTTAAGAAAAAGAAAAAAGTACTTATGTTTAATGCATCCAGAAGACGGGCAATATTTTAAAGTTACAGGGCTACAAACGAAGAAATTTACAAATTTTTTTAGGTAAAGGAGGAAAACGAACAGATGGGTCACCTGACCGCGCCCTATATCATAAAAAATATATTTTAACAGCTTATGACGATCTAATTTATCGGGCAATATATAACGCCTTCACCTTAACTTTTCTGTGTTGATAGATAAAAACTGTTTACTACTAAGAAATCTAATACATATCTAATCTAAAATTACGTACTTTTTACATAAATATATATCTTTAAATATTTTACACGTTACAGCAAATGTGTGTGCGTATCGGAGCTGCCCGACTTAAGAAGTGATTGGCTTTAGTGCTAGCATTCTTTTAAATCGCACATAAACATTTAAACTATGACAGAGATTGGGAAAAAATACATGTACTATCAAGGATCAGTGGGAGGAAGGGGTATGAACACATTAGTTTAAATCCACATCGACATCGACGGGCCTGTTGGGTAGCTTCGATTCCCATCCAGGACAATTAATTTGTTCTGTGTCTGTGTGTGTACGGGTAGTTGGACAACAGTCTTTCTACAGAACTTCAATATCGCCTAGTACTTGGGGTTTGGAAGTCTGATGGCCTGATGGCAGTCGCTCCGCGTAAAAAATCGAAGTTCTGCCGTATCGTAGTAGGATAGGGCTTCGAAGATTGTCAATTGTGTAAGCTTTCGATTTAAATATTACTCACATATCATCTATTCTTTCATTATCCTATGACAAAAAGGTGGAGGCCTGGAGAGAACGGTGAGGCTGTCCGTTATCCTTACCAGAAGCTGGCCTGAGATAATGGCGCGACATGTTCCGTGCCTCTATAAACCGAAAAAAGGGCTAAGCTTTCTACACGCAAAGACGTGTCCCCCTAAAATACGTTTCCTGGGGTCTTTTATCGGAGACACCCGAGTCACTTGCAATAGATTTTCATATGACGAGACCCCGTGTGAGTTGATCGCTTCAAATCCAAAATACCCCTTAACTGTGAGCTTGGGTGAGGTGGTGACCCGTAAGGTTTTACAAACATTTAAAAATACGGAGATTTTATGTTAATTCTATACGTTCTTTTGATGACTTTTGGACCCGAAATATATACGTAACAGTTGTACAGTATAATGTACAAGTACTTATAGGTAAACATGTAAAAAATGTTTTCTTTGAATTTGAATGTATAGGGGAATTCTTTAGTACATGAAGATAAGATAAGATTGGTGATGTAGGTGTCCGCTTGATATCTTATCTATTTACGGAGACACATATGTTGTTCAAAGTAAAAACATCTAAATAATTGCTGCACTGCCCACGGATTGCGTAGTGGTTTAAGCGGTCGCCACGCCGCTCACTACTACGCTGAGTGTTGTAGGTCTGATCCCCACATGGGACGACACTTTGTGTGATCCACAAATTGTTGTTCTGAGTCTGGGTGTTCTTTGTGTCCGTTTCATGTATGTTTGTAAAGTCCCCCGCGACACAGGAATATATTCCTAATGCGGGCGTTGTCTTTTTTAAGAAATAAAATAATGGCAAAAAAGGCCTAACTCGCCTATCATTGAAATTTTATAATTATATAATGTTCTTTAAAAACCATTGGAGATTCTTATGTAATACTAACTTATACCCGCATTTTCGCTAGCATTAGTGTCGTTTTGTCAATCAATTTTTCCAGGATAAAAAGTTCCCTGCGTGCTATTTTGAGCCATAATCTATCTCTGTCCAAATTTATCCAGATACGATCAGTTTTTTCTGGTGTGATGTTTAACAGACATCCATCCAAACATTAACAATTAAAAGCCGTGTGGTGTCGTGGGACACCCGATAGGAACGAAGGTCGAGTAAAACTGATTAGACACGATTTTAATTACAACGCCATCTATGAAAGCGGCTATTACATACATATTTTTCAGTTGGTTACTAATTAAAACAATTTATACATTGGTAAAATCTCCTTGAGAAATGATGTCGAATACAATATTTTTTGCTCAACCTAAGAAAATAAATTTTAATTTTACTATTCGATAGATGGCGCTGAATGACTGACAAGTGACAATTCAAAATAAAAAGTGTCGTGACCAATTTTCGTAAGAATTTTTTCCGTCTAGCCCCCTTTCACAACGCGCGATAAGGAACTTCGTTCCAAAACTTCATTCCAATAATCTCCGTAGTTATATTAGTATAAAGCATTTGTAATAGAAGCATTTAATGCCAGAAAAATAAGGTATTATAAACTAGACAATAATTTCTACACTCTCCTATATCATGGGCACCCTACCTGCGCAGACGCATCGCAATTTATCGGCCACTAACAGATAAGGATTGACTGAGGAGCGTGCGCTTTTGTGCTCCTTATCACCCACTAATAGCTCACCGAGATAGCGTTATTGATGAACCTTATACCGTGAAGATCTCAAAAACCATTGAGATCGGAAGCGATTAGTGGTGAGGGGCAATTTTTAAACAATACGAGTAAATAAAAGTTACCAGCTTTTAAGGTTAGAATGTTATTTTTTAGTGAATAAAGTTATTTTTATGGTATAGGGGCGAATTGTCCGTGTGGTGACGGATAAAGAACCCGTGGGTGTCGTAAGAGCCGACTAAGGGAGCAAACTACGCAGGACAACAGCACTGTTGATGATGATGATGATGATATGGGCGAATGAGGGTTACTTGATGGTAAGTGGACAACGCTACCCATGGACTAGTGCAACTCGAGAGTAATAGTGCCCTAACACCTTTTGACCCGCCTTCCCCATATCAAGGGTAGGTGCTGTAGAACCTCGTTTACTCATACTACACTAAGAATACTTTAACATTGGTTTTCTGTGAGGCCGAAGCATTGCCCTCCAACAGTTTCTTTTTTTGTTCGGACTAATCCCACCCACACGCCCACCACTGTAACTCCTGTAAACCAGGATCCGCAGCAGTGACCCACGAACACACCGAGTTATGACACTCGAGAAGTCCCAGGAATAAATTACCTCCCACGGTTATAGATTTAACGCCAATTGGAAGAAATGCTCACCTCGACAATACCGTTACATTGACGTACATACACAAGGGTTAGGGAAAGGCTCCCTAAAACCCTAAAACGAAGACAGAAGATAGTAGGTACTTACGATACCCTTACTATTAGGAAAAAAATCGAACCCGACAGAAAAAATATATTCATAAGCACAACTAACTAAAATATCTTCATAAGCACAACTAACTAAAATGAGAATTACATCACTTTATATAATGATGACGAAAAAGTTGAAAAATATAGATTATACATAAATTCGTCGATGATACGTACATATATTATAAAAAGTAATCGTACGTACCAAATTGATTTATTTTTATTTATTTATTTCGTAAACAATATTACATTGTGCTGAACTACAATTATCTTAATCTAAATTGAAAAGTAATAAAAATGAAAAGAACATTCATAAATAATAAATTATAATAACAAAAAATAATAATAATAAAATAATTGGAATTTTAGACAGGAAAAAATATTAACATATTAGATTGTCACGAGTACAAATTAATTATGTTTTAATGTCAAGAGGTTAAAATATTAAGTAAAATAAATTAACGCAAACGTCAGTGCAAGTTATTCTATCATGTCATTTTATAAAATCATCAATCAAATAGAAGCACCCCTCCCCCCCTCCCGCAACAAGAAATGCCTTACCTTTGGACTTAAATTCTTTTGCATAAATTGTGCTTTATATTAGCCTCACTGGAATTATATGAGCTATGTTTAATAATGTTAAGAGTCCGTGTTTTTGGCACCTAATTGATAAACCATCTTACAACGTCTTCAAGAATATTTGTTAAGATAATAGTAAGTTGTTGAAGATAATAGTAATATTTGTTTTTTAGAAATAATCTATTCGAAATATTGTTCAATAGTTTAAAAGTTGGTTACAGAGACATCTAGCGGAGAGAGGCAACACTAAAAAATATTTTTTCATTTTTACTTTTACGCACACTTTTGAGAACCTGTCACTTCTGAGGTTGCATTCAAATGTTTGCCTAAAGTCCAAAATGCACTGAGTGAGTCTGACAGTAGCAAACTCCATATTTACAAAACAAACCAGCTCAATTATTAGTCTGCGCACGCGTCTCTCAAACAGGCGTGCCTTATAACAGGTACAAGTATGTACATATGTACCTAGGACTACACTGGCGACTGGCCTGTTGCTCTAGTCTAGTGGTTAGTGACCCTGACTGCTAAACTACTAGCTAGTCGCATTGCTAAGGTCGTGGGTTCGATTCCCACCCAGGACAAATAATGGTCATTATTTTGCGTGTGTTTGATATGTTACACGCCGATTTGATTTACAGGAGTTCGACCCAGCTCGACTTACGGCTTGCACGCCCCAACCCATCCGTACCATCAATATCCCTTTCCTTCACACCTTATCTATCTTAATCATTTAATAAACATCCAATTGTTCATATTTAATTACCAGTGGAATACCCGAGGAGCCAGAGGGCTTCGTGGCTAAGTGGTAAAAGTAACTAACACAGGGCAATTTCTTATCCTTGTGGTGATCATTTCTTAACATATTGAGACCCCTCCGTGCCTCGCAGAGCACGTTAAGCCGTCGGCCCCGGTTTTATACGAAACAGCTGTGACAATCGTTACGGGTAGTTGTGAGCACTAAAAACTCCGACAGCAGTCTTTCCTCAGAATTTCGATGGCAGTCGCCCCACTTAAAAAATGGAAGTTCAGCCGTATCGTAGTAAACTTACAGCCGACCCCAACTAAAGTTGTTATAAAAGCTCGGTGAAAGAATTACCAGTGGAATCCCTGGTTAGCTGCAACATACTTGTCTTTTATTACACGATAGGGATTATAGTATACTAACTGACCCTGCAAACGTTGTTTTGCTACTTACATTATTTAATTATTTTTTTTGAATTTCTTAAAATCCTTTCTTAGCTGACCTCTACTCGGTGAAAAGAATATTCCTACCAAATTCCAAGTCTTTATCTCTAATGGTTCCAGAGATATCGTGATGAGTGACTATATACGTGGAAATCTCTTATATATATATAGATTTTACAAACTGTGGGTGGTCAATAAGCTTCTGTCTACCCCTTCTTGGTTATCAGCGTGAATATAAGTGTAAATAATCATATGAGTCGTGGGCAGTATTGTCACTATGTAAATTGACGCGGACAATATCATATCGCATGTTATCTGTTAAGAAGCCTATACGGAATGTTACAGATAGCTTTGGTCATATCTTAGGGCCGTCTAATATATAGAATGAACTACAATGATAATATTTGAAGTTAAATTCCCGATTTTTAATACAGAAATGTTATTTTGAAACTGACAAATACATTATTAAAGATTAACCGATGAAGCTAATTTTTCGTAAACAAAATCAACGTACTGTGTACATGAATATTCAATAATATTCGTGTTTCACATTTCACATACGGCTACGTTCTAAGAGATTTAAAATTAAATTATTTTTTATCTTACCATAGACTAGTAAAAGAGAAAGAAATGTATACGAAGCTATTTATTTCTGTATTAAATTGCGTTATTCTTAAAAATCAACAGATAGAATTAAGAGTGTCTCCACCCCTATTCATCACGTAGGTGTCGTAAGAGCCGACTAAGGGAGAAAACTACGCAGAACAACAGCACTGAAGAGAAAAGTAAAACTTGACACAAGCCCCATACCAACTCGTCTGGTCAGCGTGGTATAGTAGGCCAAAACCTCCTTTCTAAGGAGAGGTCTATGTCAAGCAGTGGACTATTTAAGGCTCATCAAAATCGGTCCAGCCGTTTTGAAGATTACCCGGAACAAACAGGCACACAGGCAGACAGATAAAAAATATTTAAACTGGTTTTTAGGCATAGGTATCGTGCAAATAACCATGTAAGCATGAAAAAAACCTATTATTTTGACAATACAAACATACACTTTAATTTTATTTATTTGTATAGATAGCCACCAAAACTGAAACCCACGGCAACTAATTATATTATTTGTACGAACTTTTGTAGTACTGCAAAGCACTTCAGCGTTTTATTTCATTAGTATATTTAAACTTCCAATATTGACAAAAAAAAAGTAAAAAACAATTCAAGCGAAAATTCAAGTCTACTTACATCAGGCAACGTAGCTTGAAGCTCCACATGTTGGAAATCTCCGGTTGCCAACGTAGGGCTTTGCCACCAGGTGCTGGAGTCTCCATCCACCGCATGCGTTGCAGGGTGCCTCCGTGAAGATGACCCGCCCAGGCCCTCGCAGACATCACACACTATGCCGCGCCTGTTGAAACAAACATTTAATATTAAATAGAAGACCGTGGAAGAAACATGCTTCGGAATAATAAGCTGGCTCAACTGGAGTGATACCACATCCTCACAGAATCACGCTATTGAGCAAGTTTTAACACGCTTTTATAAGCTTGGTATGTTTGTATTTATGTATGTATGTAATGTATACAACGGATGCTTCGGAATAATAAGCTGGCTCAACCGGAGTGATACCACATCCTCACAGAATCACGCTATTGAGCAAGTTTAAACACGCTTTTATAAGCTTGGTATGTTTGTATTTATGTATGTATGTAATGTATCTTCTAACGTGATTTTAACCCACTTAAAACGTCGAATTAAATTAAAACTTTGCACACTTATCAAGGACCGATGACAATGCAATAATTTAAATAGTTTGTCCCATTATCCTGATCAGGACCTTCAGGATTAACGGCTTTTTCCATACCTAAAAATGCGGTAGTGTCTTTTGCCACGTACTTAGGCGTGTGCAGGCATATGTTATAAACTTGCATGTTACTTTTTTAGTCTTAATAAGATAATAATCATCATTAATGACTAAAAAAAATTAAAAATAAAAAGTATTGTATAATACTCGTATAATACCTTTCCTTTTACCAATATCTGTCACTATTTAAAACAATTGAGATCTAGCACCAAACGTTTTTTTACGATAAAATATTTTTTCTTTTTGAACTTATTTCCTACATTTTACTTCGGCTAGGTACAAAACTGTTTTTTTTTAGTTGTTTTAATTTAATAACTGGGACCAAAATTACAGTCCACAAAAAGTGGGTCTTAATTTGGCCTTTGTCTAAAAGTCTAAACTTCAGATAATACGATCGCAATCTTCAAATCTTCGAGAAATTAAGTCTTTTAAATCTTATAATAAAATCATTCGTATTTTACCATGACTACTTTAAAAGTATAATGTTGCCCTCATGTCTGCGTTCCCTGATGTTAACAATAGCGACTGTTTACAATACCTATGGTAATACCCTATGGTTGGCTGATGAAGAAAGTCCATTACTGCATACAATACGTAATTAAAATTACAATACAATATTATTTTCGTCTTTTAGGTAACAGGGATTAACTTCTCAGCAAGACGACCTCAATGAATTCCCATTACTAGAATATTGCCTAGTGGACACTTTCATCATCATCATCAGCCTTTAATAGTCCAATGCTGGTCATAGGCTTCTTCTTAGGAAGGACATTTTGACTTCTATACCTCGCTGGCCAGACGGGTTGGTTTAGGATTTGTTTCAATTTTTATTGTTTTTATTTTTTATGTCAGAGGCGGTAGACGAGCAAACGGGCCACCTGATGGAAAGTGACCATTTCCGCCCATGAACGTCTGCAACTCAGGAGTCACAAACGCGTTGCCGGACTTTTAGGAAGGAGTACGATTTTTTCTTGAAGGTTTGTAGGTCGTATCGGTCCGGAAGTACCGCAGACGATATCCTGTTTCACAGATTGGTTGTCCGGGTTAAAAAAATTACTTCGCTTTGGACACTAGCTGTCAAATAATATTTCGTAAAAAAGTCAATTAGGCTTTTTAATGTAATGGAGCGCAAACTTGCAGACAGGTCACCTGATAGAAAGCGACTAACAGCCACCCATGAACGCCTGCAACTCATTAATCACAAGCGTGATGTCGCCCCTTGAGTTCTCCACCAGACCAAGTTGAAAAGAGATTTGGGCTGCTATAACCCCAAACAAAACATGTTGATAAATACTGCTCTTGAAGGTTCTTATCTGTTCTTCTCCATCAGATACACGAATTAGAAAAGGCAACTATCTTTACGACGAAATGGCGAAAAATTAAAAATAAAAAGTATTGTATAATACTCGTATAATAACTTTCCTTTTACCAATGGCGAATGACGAATGACCGAATGGCGTAGTGGTTTGTGTAACGGACTCCTATTCCAAAGGTCGCGGGTTCGATTCCCGCTCAAGTCAAACATTTGTGTGCATGCACATTTAATGTTTGATTTGGTCTGGATGTTTCTATGTATAATGTATTTACAAAAAAAAAAGTATATATGTATTTATATCAGTTGTCTAATACCCATAGTACAAGCTCTGCTTAGTTTGGGACTAGATGGCGTTGTGTGAATGTGGTACAATATTATTATTATTATTATTTACGACTGAATTGTTAGACTGACTCCTCCTCATGTCTTATTTGTGTTAGTTTAACTCGATTTTATTAGAATTCATTCTATTAGATTTGACATAGATACTGAAAACTGATCCACAAGTCGAAGAAGACACTGAAAATCAAAACGAAGATTCTTAAACACTTACTTCCCAGGCGTGTCTCGGCAATACTCCTCGGCGCCTGCATCTCCGCAGCTGGCATTCGCCACTATGATAGAGTACGGAGCTACATCGAGTGGAGCTGGTAACAACCCACTTGCCGCTGCACTTGACACTATAGTTTCACCCACATTTGTACTTGTGAGGCGATCTAATAGTGCTCGACCTGGAACAAGAAAAATTATTATTATTATTATATTGTTGAATCACACAGGCCAGGTGGAGTGACGATTTGCGCAAGGTGGCTGGCAGGAGTTGGATGCGAGAAGCCCAAAATCGATCTAAGTGGCGTGCAATGGGAGAGGCCTATGTCCAGCAGTGGACTGCGTCAGGCTGATGATGATGGTTGAATCTCCATAATTTTTTGTCTGTCTGTCTATTTGTTCCGGGTAATCTTCTAAACGGGTGCACCTATTTTGATAATTTTTTACTACCACCTAGTTGTCTATATAAGGAGTAACCTAAGTTCTTTTATTTTTTCAACTTCAAAAAGGAGGAGTTCGTCAATTCGGATGTTTTTTTTTATGTACTCATGGCTCATTACAAAATGGTCCCATTTAAATTTCATATAGATCTGATGATGAGTTTTGGAGACAGACGAAGGAACTCTTAAAAAATAACAGCAAGTCAACCGCGATTACTGCTAGGATTTTAGTGTTCTTTGTTAGTATTGTTAGAAGTGGGATCAACTTAAAAAAAAAGATTTATCCTCTCAGAAAAGCCCTATAAGATTTTGCCCAATCTGAGAATCGAACCCGATGCTTCACGTATCGTTCTACACCAATAAGGCAACGCAGGGTCGCGTGCAATACCGATGAAGCCCCCCTTTTTACGGTGCGGAATACACAGCTATGATGGCAAACAAGAACAGCAGTAATTAGTACCGGTGTCTCAAAGACCTCACTATAGTATTGGTAACCTTAGCACATTAACAACCATGAATAATCTATGGCGGCCATAAACCAAGAATATAATATACTCTATTGTGTGTTTTGTATTATGCTGATAGACAAACACGGCTTTAACTCTGCTAGCAAAAATCTGCTACATCCTAAATCATACAGTTAACTACTTTTGGTATTGTAATTCTTTTTCTAAATTTATTTTTTACTAGCTGAGACCCGCGGTGTTACCCGCGTTTGTTGTTATAACCGCGGGCAACGCCTACGTTACTCCTTATGTCATCAGCTATCTGCCAGTGAAAGTCCCGTCGAAATCGGTCCAGCCGTTCCAGAGATTACGCGGCACAAACAGACAGACAAAAATTGTAAAAAATGATATTTTGGCATATGCACCGTGTAAACATACATATGCATTTAGTAAAAAGCGGTTATTTTAATATTACATACAGACACTCCAATTTTATTTATTTGTATAGATATCGTGCAGTCTGACTCAATTGTATATAGACCATTAGTGTATATTGTAGAATATGCTACATTGGTACCGTCAGCGCCATCTTAGTCTAGACAAGACTCTGAACACTTAGTGCTTATCAATAGTGAGTGAAATAATTTCTTCCTTATGTAGCTCTGAGAACATTAAACTGATGCTTTAATAGTGTTTATATCTTTGGAGTGCTTTTAGTGACGAATATAACATCTTAAAACAATTAAAGTTCTAAAACGCCTGAAGAACATACCTACAACAGCTAACGCCATCTATCGATTGCTTTATAAACATTCCTGAATCACGCTTGTGATGAGACACAGTTTTGTTTTACTAATCTTATTAAAAATTATCATGTTTACTTCTACGGACGAAGTCCTACGTCTAAAACTGAACCGAAGTTAATACTTGGATTGGATATTAAAGAGGGGGTTTTGGATGCTTTTGATTAATGGCAACCTGTTCCTTATTTGTTTAAATATATTTATATATATTAATTTTTGTTTTTATCATTCATCTTATTTTTAATTTTACTATTAAAACATACATACGTATTGAAGTTAAACAGTTATATTTTTAAGATTTAAGTTCAATGGTTTTCTGTTAAAATTAATTAACGGCAACGGCAACGGTCAGCAACCAGTCTGGTCCCTAGTTATTAGGTAAATTTATATTTAATTTATATTTTCCCTCAAAATGCAAACTCAAACTCTCTTTATTTCATAAAAAAATTAAAAATTACTTGAAATCGTCTTTTATTTAGACTAAAGTCATAGATCAACACACGCAATATCAACAATCTCTGTTTTGTCAAATAGTAAGCACATATTTTTAATAAAAATTAAACTTATACAAAATCTATGATATGCCTGTGCCGATCTACAACCGCCCGTTTCCAAGGGGTTGAGCCTTATGAGAAGAAAGGGCAAAACAACTCATGGCCACTCTTTTGCAATTCACCGATAGATACAATGGCATTATTAAATATACCACAACATTGTTTTGATGTGTGCCAGTATGTCCGTTATTAAGGACTAAAAGGTAAGAAGACAATGAAGAGAAAACAAGATTAAGAAAAAAATCGAAAAAAAGAGAAAATGAAGTGAAACATAAAAATAGAAAAAATAAAAATAATAAAAAACACACAAGCCCACACCACATTTTTACTTAAGAAATAGCTTGCGCTAATTAATTCCAAGCATTTTTGTCTTCTATGTAATCCACAATTGAGAAATAGGCTCTCTGGCACAAGCCACGTTTTATTGCGGATTTCAATGTGTTAATACTTAAGTCTTGTATATTATTTGGGATTTTATTATAAAATCGGACACATTGACCTCGAAAAGACTTTTTTATCTTTTGGAGCCTAGAGGCGGGTACTAGGACGTACGGACGTTGTAGGACGCCCACAGGCCAGGTGGAGTGACGATTTGCGCAAGATGGCTGGCAGGAGCTGGATGCGAGAAGCCCAAAATCGATCTAAGTGGCGTGCAATGGGAGAGGCCTATGTCCAGCAGTGGACTGCGATAGGCTGATGATGATGATGATGAGGCGGGTACTACAAGTTAATTTATATTTCTGGTATTTATAGAATGTACATTACGTCTTTTCAAAAAGCTATCTTTCTTTTCAAAAAGCTATCTTTCTTTTCAAAAAGCTATCTTGCGAACGTATATTACCTTTTCATATTTATATTAACTTGTTACTGTCATTATGTTTATTTCTTTAAATTTCTGCCTCAATGAACAACGATTGCCTAAATTATAAAGGGCTGCGAATGCTGTACTTCCTTGATAACTTAAATGAAGCACCCACTTCACTCAATGAAACACCGATAGCTCCAACTGGTCAATTAGATAACAGATCGTGAGAAATACAGCGATGCTGGCACGATTGTACGCTGCTATGCTCAATTGGACGTGAATTGTGCGCCTGCGCCGAGGGCGGCCATTACTTCTCGTCAATCTGACGGCTAGCAGGTGTCAATTAAACAGACCACCTGGTCGCTTGAGTTTTTTTGGAGAAGTTTTGTCATCGGTATGAATAAGCTTACAGAGACATGTTAATGATATTAAAAGGATTTGTTTGACAATTATGTTAAGATTTTTTTTCTAGTTTACTAGATTTAAATAAACGTTCTTGTGTTAATTGAATTGATATAGAAATGCTCATTTCTTTCCTTAACTCGGCTCGTACATTATTTCTTATGAAAGTACTTTTTCTGACTAATCCCTCCCACTCGCCCACCACTGTAACTCCTGTACACCAGGATCAACAGCAATGACCCACGAACACACCGAGTTATGACACTCGGTAAGTCCCAGAAAAAAAAACTGTCTTGGCTGTACTGTTGTAAAAAATAGATAGAATACTTATTTATATTTTTTTTGTAAACAAACTGCAAAGGACAACAGCACTGCAAAATGAAGGAAAACTTGAAACAAACCCTATACCAACCCGCCTGGCCAGCGTAGTATAGTAGGCCAAAACCTCCTTTCTAAGGAGAGGCCTATGTCCAGCAGTGGACTTAAACAACACTTTCTTAAACACTTTCTTCAGAATTGTCTCGTCCCCTATTAAAATGAACCCAATAAATCTTTCCCTGTCAAAATTTGATTACAAATCAACGAGCTCGCGTCTCTCCAAAGATTATTTATTGACGTGAAGGCCCCACTGATTAAGGCTGAAGCAATTACTCCCATAAATCTAAATATTGCTACTACTTCATCGTAATGGTTGGGTTTCTTATGTTATTTTATACTTAACTTAGTTATTGTCTCAAGAATGTGATAATTTTTAATTCCACGGTACCTATTTCTATTTTCTATTTTGTAAAGTCAACTCCCGTACTAGAAATATGTCTTGTGTCGCGGAGGACGTTACAGACATACATGAAGCGGACTAAAAAAACACCCAGACTCAGAACAACAATTTGTGGATCACACAAAGTGTTGTCCCATGTGGGGATCGGACAGTACTCAGCACAGTAGGAAGCGACAAGGTGACCGCTTAAACCACTACGCCATCCGTGCGGTATACGTGGATACTTAATTATATTTTAAGAAGTACAGAGGATTTTAATGCTTTCGAACTATGGTACTTAAAATTTTCGGCTCGTCCATTGCCAGCACGGCCTCAAGAAAAACCGATGATAAGAGATTTTTTTCGTAGCTCAACCTCTCCCCTCTCCCTAATCATGGGAGGACACAAAGAGTGGCATAGCATTTGTATCTCTTGAGTTGTAGGTGTCTATGAACGGAGGTCGTCACTATTAGGTGATCCATCTCATGGTTTGACCCCTATTACATAAAATAAAACAAAAAAACGTTTTAATAGTGAACCGAATTTAAAATTCCACAACCATCAGACCATCGTTATTTAGCCCAATCTGTTGAAAGTTATAAAATTTCTTACAAATAAACTTTGTTCTGCTACTTAAACTGCATAAGAAAAAATATAACCCTCCTTCTGGTGGATGGAAAGTTCAACCAGGATAGGGTAACAGTAAATCGTTTCATATCTTCTGTAAAGGGCAAGTCACGAGATCTATTTGCTAATTAGCCATGGTCTTCTGTGAGGTAAAGATGTTTCGTTAGTTTGACTTTTTCTGGAGCAGATGGATAAGAAGATTCATTAATCGACTCTTCTTAAGGTCATAGCTCATCAGAGCCATCCGACACCCGACTAGCACCGTCTCCCTCTAGCGGTTAGTACTATGGGTTCATGCTCACTGTGCTACACTAACTCCGCAGCGTTTTGCCCGCGAGAGCTGATCACGCGAGGACGCCGTTACTCGCACCCGTTATTATTATACTGCCTAACTCCAATTGGAAGTACAGTCGTAATGTTATATAAACTCCCTAGCTCAGCTAATTCTCGGGATTCTAAGCATAACAGGAAACAGATGCCGGTGTATTGCGTAAGCAGTTAGAACACCTCGAATTTGAATGTCACATCCGGTTTGTAATGGCCGCCATAGAATAAGGTGTTAATAATCAAATATTTGTATGGAGACTGTGAGAATGTTACCATGAGCATTCGGATACCAGAAGCTGTATTAACCATGACTACCTATGCACCATAGTTCGTACACCGTTAGCTAAATTTACATACAACATCACAATTGAAAGTACACAATTATGTTACAATATCGTTCATCATTATCAACAACCTCAAACAGTCCACTTTTGGACGTGGGCCTCTACTTAGAAAGGAGGTTTTGGTCTACTATACCACGCTTGCCAGACTCGGTTATATAGGGTTTGTTTCACGTTTTCCTTCTCCATGTCCACAAGATGTATAGGGATGGTGACACTCAGTATTTTTAATACGTCATCACACGGACACAATCAACACACTAATAACTGACTGCACGGATGGCGTAGTGGTTTAAGTGGTCGGCACGCCGCTTCCTACTGCGCCGAGTGTTGTGGGTTCAAACCCCACATGGGACGACACTTTGTGTGATCCACAAATTGTTGTTCCGAGTCTGGGTGTTCTTTGTGTCCGTTTATGTATGCTTGTAAAGTCCCCCGCGACACAGGATATTTTCCTAATACAGGAGTTGTCTTTAAAAAAAACATTAAAAAAAAGAAAACACTATTCACTCTTTTACGGTCACTTGTGGAACGCCAATATCCAGCAGTGGACGTCTTTCGGCTGAGAACAAAAAGAGTCACTTGATGGTAAGTGACGACCGCTACCCATATGGGCGCAGTCAGATATCTGCCACTTCAGAAACGTAAGTGCCTGGACGTTATTTGATTCCTCCCTTGAGCGCTCGGTAAAAGTAACGAAAGTATTGCTTAAAAACGATTTTATGTATTTTATATGACAAAGAATTCCTCCTTTACAACCTCTACTGGTTCGTGACCCTGACTGATTCCCACTCAGAACAAATAATGTGTGATGCAACGATCATTTGTTTTGTGACTGGGTGTAATTTATCTATAAAATGTTGTATGTATTGTATTTAGTAATATAAAGGGTCTACCAATAGGGATAACCTGGTTTTGACAGCTCATAGCGGCCATGTTTGATGATGGATCTTTGACGTCTCTTGACATTTGTGTTCAGTAAGGTTTGCCATTTTATCATGTCACGGTTCACTTTAAACCAACGCTTGGAAATTGTCCAAAACTTCTTTGAAAGTGAGGAAGGAAACTCTGTTACTGTGAATGGCGAGCGCTATAACTCGATGTTAACCGAATATTTCAACATGGAATTATTGCGTGGAAAGTTTGGTGAGTCGTTAATTTCGAGAAATGGACCG